GGGACGCGTTAGGGTCTTGCTGCCCCCTCCCAATCTCCCCCCTCAAACAGCCCCAAAGGGAGATCCTGCCTCTCCCTTCCCAAGCTGACCACGCTGGGGTTCCCCTGGGCCGTGAGGGGGGAGATTGGGAGGGGGCAGCAAGACCCTAACGCGTCCCAGTTAACATCCTTCTCCGGGCACCTCCTCCCCTGCTCGTGGCCTAGCTCAGTGACCTCCCACCTTTGCCGGCTCTCCTGGGCCGGGGCTTGGCATGTTTAACCCGCTCTCATCTGCCGCCCTCCCCTCCATGCAGCGAGAAGACGGACGCCACCAACGGAGGGACGCCCCCGTCAGCACGTAAGTGACAGAGCCGCAGCCCCAAACCCCGCCGGTGCACTGGGTCCTCCCACTGCGGGGGCCGGGGAGACGCCATTGGGGTAGCTGGCCCCGGGTCGGAGAGGAGCGCATGGGATTTCAGGCTCCAGGGGCGTGTGGGAGGGGAGGTGGCATCAGCCCTCGAGGATGGGTCCCCGTCCTCTGCTCCTGCCCCGTCTCTCCAGTGAGGAACGTGGCTTCTGAGGGAGCCACTGAGCAGCTCCACAGAAAGACCCAGGAAGCCTGGCCCAGCCCCACCCCACACAGCAGCTCCTCCCCCATCGGCCCTGTCCCCACCCCACACAGCAGCTCCTCCCCCACCATCCTGTCCCCACCACACACAGCAGTGCATTCCTCGCTCAGTGCCCTAAAATCCCCCCCTTGCCCACACTGGGAGCGCCCAGACGAGTGATTCTGTTTCTAGGGGCTCTTTGGCAGTTGGTTTCTTGCTGCCTGGTCTCAGGGTACAATTCTGGGCACCAAACCCACCCGCCTCTAGGCCGAAACGGGGCTGGGTTTAGCCGCAGGACCGGGCCGGAAAGTGGGTTCTGTGGAAGGTGGGAGAACCAGATTTGCAGACGCAGCCATGGCGTGGGGTGTCTCTTGCTGGAGGGGCCCGGTGGGCTGTGGAAGGGAGACCAAGGGGCGGTGCCTTATATTTATGTAGGGCCTCCCCGGCAGACTGAAAGCACTGTGTGTGTCTAGAGGGGGGAGGAGAGGGGGCAGAGAACGAGGGAGAAGGGATGGGAGCCTTCCCCGGACTTAGCACTGCATTGGCTGTCCTGCTCTGTTCTTGCTCTCAGCCGCCAGCCGGAGCTGCACGGCGACTCCGATCCCTGCCGCCTCGTACCCCTCCGCCACCAGCACCCCGGCCGGGCAGCCGACGGCCATCACCCGTCTGCACATGCAGCTACACCTCCACGACCTGCAGCAGAACGCCAGCGACCTCCGCAACCAGCTGCAGCAGCTGAAGAAGCTGCAGGTGAGGAGCGCCAGTCTGGGAGCGTGCCCGCCGGCTCTCATCGGGGCATGTGCGGCTCAGGGCCAGGAGAGTCCTGCCTGGCCTCCTAGCACACAGCTCCTGGCCCCAGTGGCAGGGGGTGGGGAAGGTCACCTGCAGGAATGGCCCAGTCGGCCAAAGGACCCCCGGAGTCAGACCTACGCTGCAAAACAAGGTGTGGTCTTAACCCGGGTTCAAATAGCAGTGAAGATCCGGCCACTTGGCTTTAATCCCAGGCTCCCCCATCGCTCACGCTGCCGTGTCGTCACTGCTCTTTGAACCCGAGTTAAGAACACCCCTTTGTCCCAGTGTAGACAGACCCTAAGGGGGCAGCTTGCCCTCCATGTCCCATTGTATCCTCAGCCTCATGTCCGAAACCACCATCCAGCGCCTGTGGTGCTGGTGATACGGGGACCAGCCTGAGACCCGCCAACGCCCGTGGGCCACCAAAGAGCTGTCCCGTGGCCATCGCCCCTGTGGGGGCAGAAAGCGCCGCAGCCCGTTCACCAGCCCCTGAGCCTGCTGTCCTGCTGCTCAGGTTCGAACTCAGCCCAGCTTCTTGGCCTGGAGCAAAGCAAAGGAGCGTTGGTTGGCAAAGGGGAGATTGGCTGTTCCGTGCCCAGTTAAGATCCGGGGTAGCGGAGCAGCGTTCCCCCACATCCACAGCCGGGCCCCCCTGTCCTCCTCCTCTCTCCCTGCTAGCTCCTATCCCCACCCGCAGCTTGCACCAGAATCCCACCCTTCCTGCTGAGCAATGCTTGCCCTGGCACTGGACGGCCAGGCAGATGGCAGCTCCTCGTCAGGAGCCAGGGATCTTGGTGGCCAGGCCCAGCTTTTCTTGGTCTTGTCTAGCGCCAAAGCTAATTACCAGTGACAGATTTGGGGGGAGCGGCGGTTCTGGCTGGCGCTGCAGAGATAGGGGAGGGGGAAGCGGTCCAGTCGGGTGGAATAGAGAACGGCTGACGCCCTCCCAGGGCCCGGCTCCTTCCGTCAATCGGCCAGATTCCCGGGAAATACGTCCGAGATCAAAGTCCAGCCTGTGCCACACACACCCGCCCCTGCGTCTGTCTCGCCCTGACCCTCCTTGGCAGACCCTGCCACAGCCGGGATTGCCAGGCGAACCAGAGGGGTCGAGCCCGGCGGCTTTGCCTGGGGAAAGCACGCAGAGTGCGGGGGGTTGGGGAACGATCTTTGCCAGCTGTTTGATTTTTAAGCTGACCCGCGGGTGGACACTGGAGCCAGCCTGGTAGTCGTGACGAAGGGTGGTTGGTTGCTCTCCAGTGGGACAGAGGAAAAGGGGATCCCCGGCGAGCCCCCCAACATGTGTGCTAGGGTTGAGCTGCACCCACCTGTCATGCTGGGAGGTTAATATGTAATCGACTTGTGTCCCCCCCCAGTGCCACCACCACATTCTCACCTGGGCAATGACAGCCGCATGTTATCCCCGGAGCTGGGGTCAGCACTTCACAATCCCCCCTCGTCCCCCCAGGTTCCCAGCCAGCCTTGAATCCCGCCCCCCTTTGCCCTCCTATGTGCAAATGGGAGCTCCCTGTCTCCTGTTCTACTAGGAAAGACCCTTGCCAAGCTGGGGTCCTGGCTCCCACTGCCTTGCTCCAACCACCGGCTAGAACTGGGAATAGAACCCAGGAGTCCTGGTTCCCCCTGCCCTGCATTGCCATTCTGGGTGTTCGGATCTGTACTGGGGAGGGGGACAGAATCGGTCGGCTTTTCC